ACATTCTCATCCGTGTATCCGTCAGCTGCCTTGGAGGACCTTCGTCGGCGTACGAGGGCTTCGAAGTGCTCCTCGTGATGTGTTTTCAAGAATAGCTCGATCTGTTTAGCGAGGAAGCCAAAGAGCTCCTTGGATGTCTTGGCCACCATCAGCTCCTTGGGGATGGCAACCTTACTATACGTAAGGTTGAAGGTGGTGTCGCCATTGAGGTGGACTGAACAGACTCGGAAGTTTGTGCCCCCTAGATCGACAGCCATGTACAATCCCTGTAAGGTGGTCAGTATTGGGATAAATAGATAGACTTCAAGGTAAGTAAGAACCTTCTCGGTGCCGTTTGGCACACCGGTGACATAGGTCGGGATTTGGCTTATGCTGGTACCATCTTTCTGCAGCCCCTCATCTATTTAACTATATTAGCATCCAAGGTCAAGCGTCATGAATATAGTTGAATATAGTATGTGGCTTTGTAGATCGTACTCATCTGTCGCAAAAACTCCTGTACACCCTTATTCAGATCATCATCGGTGTAATCGAATTGCGCAACGATGCGCTTCGTCTCTTCTGCTAGAGAATTCGACATGGTGGGGGCTAGGGAGATCGGCGGCGAGGTCGCAAATGGGTGTGGGCTTTCACAGATAGCAGGTTCAACGACAACGGCAGGAGGGGAGGAGAATGTTTGCGAGAATGGATGCGACGTGAAGATGTGAGGATATTGCACTTTGATATCAGCGAGAAGGAGCTGGGCAACCTGGTTTGGAGGGGCAATCAGCAAGGGCAAAATATGTACGATTGCGCCGAGTAGGTATGTCGTATGTCATGCATACGACCCAGCACGCGTGATGCGGGGAGCAAACTAGCCCTAGCGAGCCTCTAGGAATAAAATATGTAATAAAATAACTCGGACGACCCTTGCGAACAACTTACTAGGACGACAGCCAAGAGGACTACAGAGAACAGGTATATGAAGAGGGGTGCAGGCTGCTGGACCACTTCGTTCTTTGCGGATTGTCTCACTTCCTTTACCAAATGCTCGTCGGGTGCCAAAGAAGAAGGCGTACACTGTGGACTATGCGTATGGACGCGAGCATCATCAGCTCTGACGCCGAAGCGCCAGGCGTCCACAGGCTCTTCCCACGTATGGGGCGCCACGGCGATTTTCGCGGGGTTATTAGCGGGGTCTCGCTCTGGTTCTTACTATCCTTCTACAGCTCGGTCGGGGGAAGCTTCCAGGGCCCGCCGGCGCCCGCGATAAACCCCAGTAGACGGCCCGAGATTGACGATTGGCGCCAGGGGACAAGATAATAGGATACGGGGCTGCAAATGACGAAAAGGCCGCAAATTTGATAGTACAGGTTAAAACGGGCCGCCAAAGTCTGCTAGCGATATCGATGAGGTCATGAGCGATCCACCTTGGAACGTGGCCTGCCTATCCAGACCAGCAGCTAGGCTCGAGCAGCTGGCCTGAGGTCGCGTGTCGTGCACTGTCCAGGGCGCCGGAGGAGGAACCAGGTAGAAGGTAGATACCTAGGAGGGCAGAGAGGCAAGAGTGGGGGCAGGAGAGAGCACAGAACTCAAGATGTTAAGTATCAACGCCGTCCTTCATTCACCCTTGATGTGAACCAATTGGCCAATTGATAACCCGTGGGATACTAAATAGTACCAAGGCATCCAATGAAATAGAAATGGGTTGATTGACAATTGGGTCTTATTAAAGGGATGATCGAGTCGGTCAGTTTCTGGCTACCAGTACCTGTTTTAAGACATGCTTCACGACTGAAGAGACTGAGACTGTGACTGACTCGTAGGCGTGCTTCAGGACCATCTATTTCAGCAAACTAGAGGATGCAACAATTAGGGGAAAGTAGTACGACACGGTAAAGCAGAGAGTTTGCTAACTATAGAGAATAGGTATGAATTGGATGATGAACGCAAATAGAGGTCGAGGCGGTCACACAGATTTTGTGGTTGGCGTTGGGAGGAGTAGGTATCTAGATAGAGAGGTCACACGGAACCGTCCAAGTACCTACTTGGGTAGGTACTTGTGGCAGCATGGGCGGTGGTTGGTGGTCTCAGGAAGGGGTGGGGACGACTATCCAATACCGATCTCCTAGTTCAAGTGACGATTACCTATTAGGGTAGGAACTTACAAATGGTAGCCAGTGAGAGAGAAGTCGGTGTCCGAAGAATACGTATACTTGAAGCTATCATCACAATGAGTAAGTAAGTTTTGGATCCTGTTTCATATTGTAACTACTAAGTCTAGGTAGACTCTACCAGTAGGTAGTTGGAGGGTCAATGTGAAGGTGCCTGATAAAAAAAACTACCTACCTACCTAGGTATATTTTGCACTTCCCAACAGACTAGTCGGGATATAATCCAGTTTCTCTACAGGTTGGATTGATTGATTAATTGATGCCTTAGGTAGTATTCAGCGCCAATGGTGATTTGCCTACCCAAAGTCCTCCCAAATCCTCGCAGGGATATGAGACTCAACAAGTTAATTACTACATGTAGAATGCTGCTCGCCCAATTACGGTAAGCCGGCGTAATATACTATTTGTCTCTTCAACTATCAATTTGTTCGAGTCAATTTCCTCAAGAGTCCAGTTATTAAGTTTGAATTCACATAGCTTCCATTGTGCACAGTCCGAATCAACAACCCCAGTGTGCGCGTCCCATAAAACGCCACAAGGGGCCCCAGATAACGCACCCCGGAACCCAAACACCCCAGGGTCCAGTCCAGTCCAAACAGTCGTTACATAATCAAGCGAGAGTGACCTAAGTATGAATGGATGAGCAAGCCTTTCTTACAAGAAATAGGGCTAGACAATTCACATACGAGACGGCGACGGCGCTCATCGTTTCTTAGGGATGTGCCTCTGAATTACACAGTGTTCACCGTTGAGGGGCTCGTCACAGCACGCCCATCTAAATCCTTCTGGGCACGCTTTACGCCGCCAATCCGTCTCGACATTAATGCTGTGGATCTCATACGTAACCTGATCATCATCGGGAAAATATTCGGCATCGATCATGAGCATATCTGGAACCACGGCAACGTGAGCATCAGTGTCAGGATCGACATCGCTGCGCCAGCAGAGGAGGTGAGATCAGTAGCGCACCGTTGTGAGTCTGACAAGCTTCATCGTCGTTGAGCGTGATATCATAAGTCTCCCCGCACGTCTCACACTCTTCATATCTTGGTTTCTGGATGACTTCGACCTTCTTCCGCTTCTTGCTCTGCTTTTTGGTATCGTCATCGGACGAGTCGGATAGTTCTATAATTTCATGCTTCCGGGACACGAGCAGCCGATCCGTCGCTTCTTTGCGGCAGGCCTCCGAATCTCTGCACAAAGATTTCAGCAAATCGCGTAGAATATGCTCGTTGGCATTGTCGATGGCGCGCTCCAGAAGCGCGTGTTTGTTAGTTTGTGTAGCCATAATTACACCGATTAAATGATGATAGGAATAATATGCAGACCGAGACGCGTCGGGGAAATATTCATCTAGACGCAACCCCGGTCGTTATATTTGCGAAATAATTCTGCAGGACACGGGCGCACGCACTATCAGGGTTCATCAATTCCCTGTAGGCTATAGAGTACCCTGCACACGAAGACCAGCGATATTGCAGTACCAACATTCGGCTTGGTGGTGTCATTGATGTTGTAGTTGAAATGGGGCATATGGCCTAATCATACATAGACTAGAACCCACCAAAAGAGGGCCTTCATTAATATAGGCTTTCATCTCCAAAGCAAATATCCCGCGTCTTTATGATTTACACGTGCTTGCCTCGTATACTACTAGACAAGTCTTTAGAATTAAGCATGTATTTCAATCGCCTTAGTCGATTTAAGACATTAAGGCATATAGTGAGTATACTTATGTGTTACCTAAACTACAGGTCGAAGACTCAAACGTCTAGACTAGGATGAAGCCCACGCGAATAAACTAGACATGTGAGTACCTATAGAAAATAGAAGCGGGTTCCTCCCATATCGCTGGGCAAGATCAAACGATTCGCGAAGTCGGTAAACTTATCGTTCTTACCCTCAAGTTAATGCTTTCCCGGTGTATCCGATATCCCAGTTAGAGCCAAACGTTATTTACTAGACTAATCTAATTTGCCTATAAAACTACCGATCGATATATTTTAATCGACGGTAACTAGAGCACTACTAGACTCGCAGTCTTGTGTTGAGCTTATATCTTCTATATAGCGTGAGCGGAAAGAATAAGTGTTAGAAACGGCAATATATCGACATTTTCTATACGCATTAGGCTCGAAATGACACTAATCGCTGTCAAGAAAGTCGACAACCATAGTTTCAGCCGTTCAGCGTAAGCTTTTCGATTATCTTAGATTTAGTAATCAATTCTTTAGGCTTTCCTTAAGGCTATTCATCCTCGCCTCTGTTGCCCATATGCACCTCATACGCCCGAGCATATATCATCGCAAATTGCTCAATGTGCGCTGTTAGCTTTAGTGAGGAAGACAAGAACATTAAAAGGACGCTCGAGGACGACTGACCAAAGTAGAATGGTCCCGAAAGCTACTTTTTATTACATCCCCTAAGTACTATGTCATGGACATACGAGGTATGTGTGTGTCTCTCTCAAAGTTTCGCTGCAAATTTTGAAGCTGCAAAGATAGGCATGCTGGCGGCTAGGCGTACTAGTAGTAACATTGAAATGTCGAGTGTCGAATCTCCTATAGATGATACATAGATCATAGATGATTAGAAAGTTCAATGCGAGGACTCTCCTTAGCCCTGTCTTTCAAACATTCCATCAACTACTAATTCATGGTAGATATTATTATCATCTATCCATTGGGGTGCAAAATTACTGATACCTAAAAGATTCAGGACATCATATAACCGCAGAAAATACCAGAGAGTTGAAAGATAAGAACCAGTTTTGTGTTTTGTATAAAAAAAGGGGAAAAAAAGGAATGGTTGCTACTCCCAGTTATAACTAGAAGGCATCAGGAATTGAGCCCAATGCGGGGGTCGAACCTGCTAGGGTTAGCCACTAGGTATTTCACTAAATTTTTTTCAACAGAAAACTTACCCGCAACCTTGAGATTAAGAGTCTCACGCTCTACCGATTGAGCTAACCGGGCAAAGGATGCTGTTCGTTAGCTTTTACCCGTGCTTTCTTCGCTTGAGTTTGTATGGGCTACAAGCTAACTGGGTGCTTCAGAGTTTTTATTACATAATACTAATTATCGTATTAAATTCGACTACATGCAGTATCCTATCACGTCAAGTCAGTCTTCTGGTTATAAACGGCGAGCTTGCTTCTTTATATTTAGTATAGGTAGTTCATAACAAATTGTATTAATGAAACAAGGCAAATAAGTTAGGGTGGTGATGCCACACACAAGTGGCTGCAAACAACTAAGGCTTTAATATTAACAACGATAGAACAGCTAACTGTAATTAATCAATTTATTGGCACCTTAATACAGAGCACAGTGACAATTTAGTCCCCTAATAGAAGTTAATTACATAATATTATCGAGCTGCGCTTATTTAACATTTGGTATCTCTGATCCCTTTCAGGGTAACCTCTCACCCCTGAGCCGCCAATTTTCTAAACCCTTGGCCTTGGGTTTTAATTCGACAAGAATGAATCAATTCTACCTTAATGAGAGTAGCAGGCATGCGAATAACTTATTCATAATTTAATATCTATCATGGTCTTCATTATCATTATTCGAAATAGCATAATCCGAGCGAAATAGTTGTGCACGTCGCACATGTTTAAAGCAGTCTATACCTAAATTGAAGCCGTAACTGTCTATCACAGTCCGGACAGGGCATTTCGTATACAAATTAGTAGAACCGGTATTACTAATTTAACTATATGTAGGTTAACGACTGAACCTGACTTCCTTCGTTGCTTCATCGGCTTCACTCCTACTTGTAGAGTTATGTAGCGAGAGCTATCAACCCATTGTTACCAGAGTGCTTGACGTGGTTCGACAGTTATTCTGCTTTCATTTCGAGTCTCTTCAAAGCTCTCTATATCTATCGCGCTTGTGGGATCCCATATATGGTATCGATGATCTGGATGTCGTAAATCGAGCTTCCAATTGTTACCTAATCATAATTTTCTGCCATTTAATTGGTGCTATTGGCTGCTTATTAATTGCAGGCAGACCTTTCGTTATGTACTGGAACCTGATTCATGTTTGATGGTGAACTTATATGCCAAGGGCTTCTGGGACTAAGAACTTCGCCTTCCATGGCACCGTCAACTTGACCTAGTTAGTGATATCTCTTATGCATTGATCTGGTTACTTACCATAAGCTTCGGCGACGGGTCAGAAAGTATCACTGCGGTCAACTTTGCGAAGTATCATGGGATAGTTGCAGCCCGCGATGATACATAAATAGTCACCCGGCTGGGCAACGCTAACGCAAATCCCAAAATGACCTGTTTCTGTGACGAAAAACCCTCCTTCGCCTCATAATGTTCGCTGCTACATGATACATATATCTGTATATACCTTCATCGCTACGGCGACCGTAAAACTTTCTTGCATAGCCAGCAGCCAGAACCTCGTTGACTTCTTTCTCAAGGGAGGTGTCGACGGCATGGGCCTGATTATTGAGTGATATCCCTCGGCTTCTCGCAGCGAGCATATATGCTGAGCCAACGTCTTCGCGAAGTTGTTGCAAGTCTGCGGTAGTAGGGTCAGGGAAGAAAAAGGCGCCTCTATCCCAAAAGTGGCGTGTTTCACTGGTGCAAACCGTCTTTGTCATATCGGCGATTTTATCGAAAATCACCGCTAATACAGTCAGGGTATCCAACGTGCTGTCGAGCTCGAAAGTCGCTTCGCTTCCGCCTGATGCTGAGAATAGGCAACAATGAGAATCTTCTATTTCGATGAACCAGCCAAAATGAAAAAGGGTGAACATCCTATTTCCGTTGATAAGTAAAGTCGGTCGAAGGTCATTGGCTTCTGTTCTCCAGTCTGGAGGCCATGATGGAAGTAAGTCCGTCCCAGCCACACCATTCGCCGCAAGGAGGATATCTAGGTGTTTTTCCGTCATCATAATGCTACGAGCAACCTCTTTGTACACATGTTCCATGGGCTTTGAATAGTCGGGTATAATCCTCGGTAGTAGCTCACTTCCAGCCACGGCTATGATGGAATGAATTTTATCCCGAGGGTCGGCAGCCTCACGATCCCAGGTATTCCAAAGCAAATCCGAGAAAATACTACCGTAGCTTCCCTTCGGCTTCCCACCCACTAAGTGGAGGACTAAGCCATAACGCCTCTTATTTGATTCCCACAAGCAAAGCCGATAAGGACATACAATTAAAAGACAGACTACTAGCCGCTCAAGTAGTGGTGTAGTAGCATCCACCGTAGTTAGAACACCCTTCCAGCTATTCTTTTCTCTCCGAGGATCCTCATTTGCCCAAAGTATTGAAAAAGCCAGGTTGTCTAACAGCGCCAGTTGTGATGAAGCTCGCTCGATGATATTCCATGAGATGATAGATGACCCACACTGAAGGATCGCCTCTTGCAGAACCCAAGCACGGGACCACCACGGACGTGCCAACAACTCATCTAGTGAGTCCCAGCCTTCACTGTCCCATAATCCGTCGAGAGAATCCGCTAGTGCCCGGCTAAGAAATTCTAGGGCACGATCACCCGAGGAGGATTTAGCGCCTAGCCAAATAATCGCATGGCTTGCTTTTCTGTAGACATCCCTCATGAGGCCGACTTTCTCACTGCGTTCTCTATCATTGTTCTAGTCAATACAGAGTGCGTCAATCAACAGAGTGCGTTTGTGTTGCGTGGAACGCAGATGTTGAAGCGCTTCATACAAATTGGTAGAAATGACGATTTTCGTAGATCCGACAAGTGCATGGTGGGCATCATCTTTCAGTCCCCACGCATACGATAGGGCTTCATACTGGGGGTTGGAGTCTAACGTGGCGTGGCGTGGAAAATCTCGACTGAGACTGGCGATGAATCCTGACCCGGGAGGAGACGAATGAGGCGGACTTCGTTGCTGGCCTTGAGCGGCATGGAGCTATAACTAAAAGATGCGTCTATATCCTAAGTTTAATGTCGATACTAATATATCTACGATTTAAAATAAAGGCCTGGAGGACGAGATCGCGTTGCTACTTATTTTCCGGCCATGAGAATTCTCATAGCATAGGGGTACTAAGCGCCTTTAAATAGCCTATCCGTTGCTCTACAGGGCAGAGAGTTAGGCATCAAGAAAAGGAACATAGAAGGTCGAATCAGCTAGAGAGATAGGGGGTTGAGTGTGTCATGCAACAATAATAAAAGGCTACCTGCGGGACTGATGTGGCGATGCGATAACTAGAAAAGCCGAAGGCTCTCCGCCAGACGGTGAGCCCAACCGGCCCAAAACTACCCAAGCAGAAGACGGTGGTGGTTGGGGGTGCCACGTGTTTAGAAGACATCATTCAGATGGGTGGTAGTGCCCAATATCACTGTTGCACTCATTGCTGTCCCCGATTTCGGAATTTCGGCTTCCTTGTCGACTAGGGCTACACCTCGAGCTTGAGGTTCGGAAATATTAGAATGCTCCTATCGCATCTTGACTTCACGCATTATAGAGTGCCTCCACAAGACCCCTTCACAATTCCCAACGTCCTCTATGACGAACTCCGTATGTTGATAAAAGAATATTCATCTCTCTAGCCACATTGAAACAATATCACTCATTCTTGACATGCTAAAATCATTCTTTATTAGGTACTCAACACCCATTGCACATTTAATCTGTGTACCGATGTCTGTTGGAATTAGAAATCACTTATGGGCTGCAACTAGCCCTGAAGTTGTAGGTGGAAAATACTATGACCCTATCGGCGTTTTAGGTAGAGAGTCGAAGATAGCCAAGGACGAAAACCTATCGACAGGGCTATGGGAGTGGACAGAGAATGAGCTCGAGCTAGCTTCCCTAACCCTTAAACAAAATATGGATATTCAACCTTTTTGTATATCATCTTTCGAGAGTAAGGTCGTTGAAAGCCCGAACCCTAGTAAGTACGGCTACATAGTGCACATCTCACGATGGTCACGAAGGTTGAATCTTAGCAGCCTATATCACCTCATTCGTTAATTCTCGGCCATCTACCTATTCTTTCAGAAGTTCAGCGAGCTCAACCCCCCGGATGTCAATATCCATGTTTTCCATACATAGCTTGACGAACAATTGCAAGAAGTATTTTCCTGGCAACGGCTACCCACCACCAGCAGTCTAGTTACACCTTTGGCCGGTGACTAGCTTTCTAGCCATAGTAAACGACCCAAGTGTGGCCACATAGTTTACGGTGACCAATAATCTGCCTAAGGTGGGCATCGTCAAACAGTACATCGAACTTCTAACCTCGTGTGTGCACATATTCTGCGCCGAAAAGAAGCTATGGAAAACTTGGCCTGTAAGACTAAATCCTGTCTTCAGCAAACGAAACTTGAAGACGTTGATTCCTGAGTTCATTGAAGAAGTGACTGTTTCACCAATAACTTGAGGAAGACGGCTGGCGAAGATGGGAGCTGGGCCCGGTCTTCTATTTCGAGGAGAAAACCGTACATCTAACCTTCGATATAATATGCAGGGTAGTACTATAAGTAATTGATATTCCACCTGATACGAGGTATCGGAATTTATAGATGATAATGCCTCCACCCCATATCTTCCCCATTTTATCAACCGTCATTGAATATGCATATTAACGCTAGAGCCGTACACTCACATCTTATACAGGCATGCGACTCCACGAGCAATCTTGGGACCTGAATGGTCCTTTGAAAGCCCCTTTGATGGATCGACTTCGCCTTATGAGAATCATTACTAATGCTGCTCGGGGTTAGATTTTTGGTCGTATTATGCCTTAAAGTGCCGCTGCTGTTGCTAGCCATAATAGAATTGATGGGCGAGATCCTGCTTCTGTAGATAAGAACCAAGTTTCAGGAGCACATGGGAGAGTCCCAGAGGAAAACTAACATTGACACAATGGTTGCTTCTTTTGACATCTCCAAACCCGATTTAGTTTATTCGCCCAATTCTGACGACATACTAATCGCCAATATCAAAATGTTTTTATTTGCTGGCCATGATA